GGAGGTTCACACATCACCACCTACGATGGCAAAGCCTACACCTTCCATGGAGACTGTTCCTATGTCCTCACAAAGGTCAGTATGAAGGTGGTATTTATAGTGTTGAAAAAAATATAAGAACCTTTCTTATGAGAAACTTATACAGGCAGATATAATGTTGATGGCACAGCATATATTTTTAGAATTGCAACTTGACTTCAAAAAATTGCTGTGTATTCTTGTCAATGTATAACAAAACTTATAAAGAAGCTTTTTGAATATTTGTAACAATTTCCAGAATTTAATAATTTGCCATTACAGTTCAGTGGAAACATCTCTTCCCATAGTAAAATTATTTATATCCAAAATATGAATTGATTATTTACTTGCATTTTATATATTTAATAGAAATATGAAAATTGATTAATATTAATGCTTGTATTTCAATCTTTAAAATTTAAGTTTAAAACTTTCCCGCATAACAGACATTTCTGAAAAAATTTAGAAACTTAAAAAACAGTTTAAGCTGGATCTGTAAATGACAGTGAAATTCGTCTTTGGAAAATACCACAAAAATTTAATAAAGTGTGATGCTAATGTTTGTGGCCTTTAAGAGGGAGTAAATTCTCGATTTTTTGTAAATTTTTTGTTTGGCAGGTGATATAATATAGAACAACAGCAAAATTGAACTATAGTTTAGGTAAATCGAGGCAGTTAGATTATTCTGACAGGCTATTAAGTAATTTTTTGTTTAGTACTTTAATTTTAATTTAAGAATTATTATAAAATGAATATTGAAAATAATATTACATTTAGTTTATTAATTTAAACAGGCATATGCAAACAATTAAATGCTAAATTAACATGAGGGCCCTAACAGCAGGTCATCAGTACACTGAAAGCCCTCGTAAGAGAAACAGCCTTAGTACTGATTCTGTATTACACACACCATGCTTCCACCTGCACCAATGCAATTTACTTGCACTTTTTGTATTTGGAAAATAAAAGCTTTTGGGTTTGAATGGTTAGATCTGATTCAAAAGCCTGATTGTTCTTCTCCCGTAGCCATGTCACGGGAGCAATTTCACAGTGCTGGGGGATCTCGTGAAGTGCGGGCTGACCGACACTGAGACCTGCCTCAAAGCTGTTACCCTGGCCATCTCAGGAGGGACCACCGTAAGGAGAAATCTACACAGAATCTTATCCATGTCACTTAGTAATAATGTTTATGGGACTCCAGATGATGATGATCATGATGATGAAGATGATAATAATTATTAAATACTGCGTAATTTATATAGTTCCAGAGTTCAAAGTTACTTTACAACAAAGTCACTAATCCACAGTCACTAATCCAGTGAAAGTGCTACTTTAATTTTATATGTGCACATGAGAGTTTTTTTTTGCTGCTATTATTACTGTAACATACCTTCACAGTGCTAAGTTTCCTGGTTTCACAGGTATTCACAGTCGAATGGAGTGGAAATGTCTTCATGAACACAATGAAGACCCAACTGCCTCTTTTAACAGGTATCCTCTTGTGATTTAGAATAACACTCTTTATATTCGGCAACTCATTCTACATTCAAATCTTACTTTCAATATTGACTGCATCTAGAGGAAATATATGCTTTTTTACTGTTTTTTGTCATACCGTGTTTCTGCCTGGTGTGCAAAATTACTGGAGGTGGCTTTCATTTCTGTGAAAGATATATTGTTAGCACTTTACAATAAGGCTGCCCTTTGTCATTTATAAATAGTAGCAACTTATTGATAAAAAACTGTTATAACTTGTTTATAATTGTCTATTGATGATTTACGAAGTGTTACAACCTAATTAATAACCTGAATATAAACCTTTCATAAACTCATTTTAAGGGCAGTCTTATTGTAAAGCGGTACTGATTTATTTTTTTCAGTCATTTTTAGTCAGCTTTTGAACCATTTCCATGTCTTTGCTACAGCTGTAGGAATAGGATGTATATTTTTCAGATGCTGTGAGCATCTTCATGCCAACTTCGTTCTTCCTCATCATCGAGACCTCCTTTGGACTTCAGCTGAAGATTCAACTCACTCCGATCATGCAGGTCTACATCACAGCCAGTTCTGAAAACAAAGGAATGACTTGTGGTATGTTTGAAAAATATACTCAGATATTTGATCCAAATCAACACAGAAGCTGCTCTAGACCAAGGTTACAGTACATTGAGAATCCTGTGTGTCTAAATGGTGACATGCTGGTTTTCTTGGTGTTTCAGGACTGTGTGGGAACTTTAACGGCATCCAGGCTGATGACTTCAGGACCACCTGTGGGCTGGTGCAGGGCACGCCTGTGGCTTTTGCCAACACCTGGAAGACACGCGCTCAGTGCCCCAATGTGCACAGCAGTTATGAAAACCCCTGCAGTCTGAGTGTGGATAATGGTATCCATTCCGGCAACTTTTTGCAGAATTCATGTTATAATGTTTCAGCACACCTTGCAGGAATTATGATAGACTTTTTGAAAAATAGGCCGACCATACAGCAGCACCAAATGAAATGTTTAAATACTACAGAAGTATTATTTGGTTAACCAAAGCAGTAAAGCGTATAGTCTGGGGACTCATTGTTGCTCAGTGGGTTGGAGATGTTATTCCTGTGATCAGAAGGTTGCAGGTTCAAATCTCCTGGTTAGCAGAGTGATGTCATCATTGAGCCCTCAGGCAAAGCCCTTAATCCCCAGGAGCTCTAGGGACTAGTTAACCCTGCTTTGTCAAAAGCTAATGTACATCATTCTGGGCAAACACTTCTATTAAATATATCAAATGCAAGTAAATAATCCAAACCTGTAAAAATTTCTGAATTATCTTTTATTGTCATGCTGTGTCCTCCAGAGAAATATGCGCAGTATTGGTGCTCAATGCTATCAGATCCAGAGGGACTGTTTGCCCCATGCCATGCAGCGATAAACCCGGACATTTACAGAGCTGTAAGTTGAAAATTCACTTGAGAATAACAGAGCACGGGTGGCGTGTTGGCACAGTGGGTATCACTGCAGCCTCACACCCCTGGGACCAGTGTTCCGTGTGTGTGGACTTTGCATGTTCTCCCCATGTCAGCATGGAGTTTTCTCCAGGTACTCTGGTTTCCTCCCACAGTCCAAAGGTGAACATGCTAAGGAGAATTGGCATGTCCAAATTGCCCATAGGTATGAAGGGTGTGAGTGAATGGTGTGTGAGTGAGCCCTGCAATGGGTTGGCGCCCCCTTCTGGGTTGGTCCCTGCCTTATGCTTTTAGGCCCCAGACCCCCAGCAACCCTAAAAAGGACAAGTGGTTTCAGGAAATGGATGGATGGATAAGATAGTAGAATAGAAATCCAACACATATTTCAATGTGTATTGTTAACTAGCTTTACATATGTTGTAGGCAAATATCAAGCACACACTTGCTTACGGCCATACTGTTCCGACGGTGCCCGATCTTGTCTGATCTCAGAAGCTAAGCGGGGCCGGGCTTGGGTACCAACTTGGTTGGGAGACTGGCTAGGAATACCAAGTGCTGTAAGCTAAAGGTGCAACGGAGGGCTACAAGAATGATTCCTGGTCTTAGAGGAATGTCTTATGAGGAGAGGTTAGCTGAGCTGAATCTGTTTAGCCTTGAGCAAAGGAGACTAAGGGGGGACAT